AATATGATTTCGTGGTTTCTTCACCTGATTCAGAGGTGTAGGAAGCAAATTAAAAGTGGTGGGGTGGGTTACTACGCCACTGCGAGTGATTTCTATGTTTTAAATATTTTTTTCATTCCAGATCTTCAAGGAGCTGGAAAGCATGATAATTAATAAGCATTCAGATTGCAGTTTTTCTTTTTATGTTAGTTTTTTTGTTTTACATTTTTCCCCAATGCTAGAAAAAAGGCTGTTAGCACAAGTCTTCCCTTATTTTGAACTTATAGACCAAACGAAAGGCACATCTTGACGACAGCACCCACCGCCAACTCTTATATTATACCAACGGTTCCGAGTTATGATTAGAATTTTGTGACAACGAAGCAGCACAGGCTGCGAACCATAAACCCTACAAGCACACTATTGATATGCCACGCTCATCCAAAAAATAAAGTGTATTAAGTTAGCGTTTTTTAATGTCAGAACAAAGTAATTTTAAATCCCGAGAAATGACTATGGTAAAAGCTTTCTAGTCAGAGAATTTAACTTATTTATGACGTAGTATCATCCGATCTAGAGAGCATTTTTGATTGGTTGTTTTTGCGTGGTCATACAAAATCAATGTTGTGATGCGTGTAGTGGCGTAATCTATTCTAAATTTGTATTTTGTTGTTACTTGCTGTTAGTGTGTCACTGCTGTTTTATAATGTATAATTTTTACTTAGCTCATGTGAAGTTTATTTTATATATGTATAATTTTTAATCAACTAACGATAAAAACACACTTAATATGAACGTATAGAAGATTTCGTTATTTAATTATATTGCAAATTAATATAAGTAGTAAAATTTTACGTTATCAGTATCAGTATAACTATAAGTTAACTTATTAATTATAAGTGTAAATAATAGTTTTGTTCAGCCCAAGTTCAAAACAAAAGTAAACGGTGAAGTTATCATTAATTTAAAAGAAAAAACTATGGAATCTGATGAACAGTTACCACATCTTGAAATTGAAGAGGGATTTGATGGTATGTAAAAAAAGGCCCCAGTCAAAACAAAAATAGGCCTAGGTAGTTTTTGTTGTAGATTTGGGATTGTTTAATTCAGACTACAGTATTATAATAATATTTGGCTTCTAAACTGTTGAAGTTTGGAATACTATTACTAATCCTTTTACAGCTATTAGAAAAAAATGACATTATTGTTATTGATTTTCTAACTAGTTATAATATGAAGACAAAGTATCGTTATTGGATTTCAATACAATGTTACTATTAATTATTATTATTGGTTTATAGTATATGGGATAGGCTTGCTCAGCAATCACATACACCCACTCAGTGGCCCAGTGTCCAGTTGTTTTTTTTTTTTTTATGTGTATGATGATTCATGAAACTTTTGTTGTTAATGCTTTGAATGCTAGTGTATCATTATAGTTTGCTTATGATTGAGTTGATGCATATTGTTAAGTAGCTGAAACTTTCTGTATTCCAAATAGTGGGCTAGATTTGTTTTACAATTTGTCAAAGGTTAACCCCCTCAGACGAGTTTATAGCTTAAGAAATACATGTCAAACTACATGATAAAATAATATTTACCAAATCATTTAGTCAAGTATATCATAAAAGAGAACAAACTAAAGGTAAATCTGTTGACTTTTAATGGTTTAACTTATTACCTGTATGATGGAAAGGTAGTTATTTGGACTTTCAAAATAACATATGGACAATAAAGAATGAGGCTCAAAGTGTGCATACAATATTCTCTTGTAAGGTCTTGAGTTACGAGTTATTCCTTTTGGTAAGAGTTCCATATGGCACCCCCACTCAATTTAAAAAAAAATTCATCAAAGTAATATTTATGTATTAATAAATCATAA